TTGGATAAAAAGGTGTGTTTGGAGCAGGGATTTCTGGGTTCTAGCCCTGCTCTGCAACAAGGAAGACCCTTTAGGGTGATTAGGGAATTACTCAGAAGATCCCCAACCTCCCCTCTACATTACACAGATTCTTTGCTCTCTAGTCCTGCCCCCACTCCCTAGCCATACATCTGTGCACCTGAGGAAGGAGCTCTGACAGGTTTCAACTGACTCATGTGCCGGTAACAGGATGCATTTCATATTACTCCCTGTACCGGGATAAAACCAACAGTGCTAAGGGTGGACCAGCCTGTGACTACTTCCTGTTTCCCCGAAGCTGACAGGCCATCAGCACCCCAAAAGCTGTGCAAGCTAAAAAAGACAGCATCTCCTGGAGTGTCCCCACCTGCTGGCCTGCCTAGTCCTTTATAGAGCTGGACATGAATGGCTTCCTTGTCCCTCATTGGTGGCTGACTCAGAAGCAGGGAGGTGTCAACTCTACCACCGCATTGGTGGAGCTGGTGGAAGGGAATAAGGGTATAGTAAGCAGCCTGGAAGCTCCAAAAAGAATGCTATGTGCCCTGGGTCCTCCGGAGGCTCGAGATGAGGAGGAACGTGCTAGGCACCTATATATCCCCGTGTTCTGCTGAACTCCCTTCTCCCCAGGGAGAGTGTATTCTCGCTCGTAGACCCCTGCCCACCAATTCCTTTAAATACATCTCTGGGTCTCCAGACAGTGGCGTGGACACCACCTTAACTTGATGGGACTGATGAGAAGGTGGAAATGTTGTGCACATTGTAATTGGGTGAACCTTCATGTCACCTGTGCTGTGGGTAACTTAAAGCAACCTTAATAAAAGTGGTCGGTAAAAGGGACATTGAATAAGCAGCTTCTACAAGGTCTTCTGGATGAGACTCAGGGCTTTCCTGGGCAGAGGTCCAATCTGCACCAGCTCGAGAGTGTGGTACCTAGGGGTAGGGGATGTGCCTTTAATAAAAGACTGTTCAGAAAGGCCAGGAGCAGGTTATTGGAGGACACAAGGGTTAGTGCAAGGCCTGGGGCTTGCAGCAACAACAGTGACCTCTGAGATCTGGCCAGGCACAGGGGCCCTGAACCCAGAGTGAGTGCCCACAGTGAAGCCAGGGTACAGACCCAGAATCACCATCTTGTCCCCATCTCTGCCCACGGTCCCAATCTGACCTCTGGGAGCAGCAGCCTCATGGAGGGGGAAGTAGAGGGACCAGCGGGACAAATGTTGGGTACGACTACCTAATGCTTAAGTGGTTTGTTTTTGCAGATTAGAGATTCTTATATAAAAATAGTATTCACATGTGTTAAGTCAAAATTGTCATTCCCAGGGCCTCCCCGGTGGCGCAGCGGTTGAGCGCTGGGTTGCGAAGCTGCCTGCGGCCTCTGCAGCGCCGGTTCGATCCCTGGCTGCTCCCCGGCCACCGGAGGAGGGTCCCACATGGTGCGCAGACCTCTCCTGCCGCCCGCTGCTCCCCTCAGCAGTGTACTTCGGTCCTTCTGCCTGCTCTGCTTCCCGCTCTGACTTTGGTGAAGTCTCTCACCCTCCCGCGCTTCTGACTGTACCCAGTGCTTGTATAAACAAAACAAACAAATAAATAAATAAATAAAACATGCCTCTATAAAAAAAAAAAAAAAAATTATCATTCCCAAAGGCCCTGCATCCTGTGATGGATTCATGGGGACGGCATCCCTCCTGCAAGGTCTCTGCCAGCCCCGCTGTGCCCAGTGGACTGCCCAGACCCCAGGTACATCCTCCTGCCCCACAGGTACCACACCCTCAAGCTGGTGCAGATTGGGCCTCTGCCCAGGAAAGCCCTGACTCTCACCCAGAAGACCTTGTAGAAGCTGCTTATTCAATGTCCCTTCTCCCGGCCACTTTTGTGCAGAGTTGCAGCTAAAGAAAAGCACTGGACCTCCCTGGGGTAGCAGGGGTTAAAGACACAGTGCTATCAAGCTATTGCCAGCCACTGCAGCATGAGATAGATCCCTAGCCAGGGAGTAAACCCACATGGAATAGCAGACCTCTCCTGTCTCACTTGCTGCTCCCCTCAGCAGTGTATTTCAGGGGATCTGCCTGTTGTGCTCCCCACTCTCTTTGATGAATCCTCTCACCCCCCTCACTTCTGGTCTATACCCCAGTTCTTGTGTGCATAAATAAATAAATCTTTAAAGAAAAAATAAAGAAAAGCACCAATGTCTGCAAATGACTTTAAAATGAAAACAAACAGAGCTCTCCTGTCCACCTATGACTATGCAGGTGCCTCTCTTTTTTTCCCCTCCTTTTCCTAATAAACCTGTTCTTTTAAAATGTAAATAATAATAATACATAAAATGAAAATAAACATAACTTCTATCCCAACAACATGAAATACTGAAAGGAACTTGTTTTTACAAAATCCAATAAACTACCCACAATAGTACCTATCAAGCAAAAGAGCACCTTTGTTTGTAAGAAGAGAAAACGGATCAGATAGACGAGATCTCAAGGCCAGAGCACAGTTTTAGGGGCCTGTTTCATTTTCTGCTCACAGGGAATTAGCAGTAAAAAGACTTGAAGAAAAGTAACATTGCTTGGATACTTTCTAGCTGTGTAATCCTGGACAGGTTTTTTAACCCCTCCATGTCTCCCTCCTTTAATCTGTAAAATGGGAATAAATTTATTACCTCAGGGTTTTATAAGGATAAAATCACTCCTTTTCTGAAAAATACCTCACCGGTGTCTCTGCTTCACCAGCACAGCAGAGCGGTATTTAAGTGTGTGGACATTAATATTCAGAGCCCTATTTAATAGGGTCAGGAGGCTGAAAAGAGGGTTCTAGTGCATTGACAAATCAGCAAACTACAGGACCAACATGCCTTGCATCTTCTGCTGTTGCCACCTGGGGTAGAAACTGAGGGGGTGGTCCTTCACAGGTTATAGACCGGGGCTGGGAATCTGGGCTTCATGAACATGTTCTATCCGCTTATTCTCTTGTTTCCAAATAAACCCTGTTTGTTGTCTAAATATCTAGCTGCTTTTATTTGAGGGTCACAATGGTACCTCAATATCAGTTAAGATCACCCAACAGCCTTCGGAGGTACATTCTGTTTTCTACTCCAGCAGACTGTAGCTTCCAGGCTTCATCATAACCAGGAACCAGGTAGCCATTAAGTGGAGCCCTGGGTCTCTTGGTCTTTATTCTCTGGAGAGGCAAGTCCCCAGAATTCTCTCTCTCATCGCTCCTCTAGCTGGCATGCAGGCACCCAGACCCACCTCTACTTGGTGGAAAATCACTCTGAATTGAGTTGGGATTCAGAAGACACCCAATGTAGTAGCTGAGTTACCTTAATCTCTGGGTCTCAGTTCCTCTCTGTAAATTAGAAAGTGATTGCCTCCTTACATACCCACATGCAGGGTGGTTGTAAGAATCAAATGTAGAATAACTGCAAGCTCTTTTTAGATGTAGTTTCCACTACATCTCCACCCCCAAACTGCACTCTGTATGCTCAGTTGGGGATGGAATGGATTAAAATAAACCAACCTCAATGGTGTGCAGTGGCCCCAGGGGAACTCCTTAGCCATCTGAAGCCCTGCTCTGCCCACACTGCTGGGCTGCTGCAGGGAGGGGGGCATTAGCCCAAGGGAACCCTTGAACTGCTGACAGAAGGCTTGTCAATCACGGTTCCAGGAGGAAGCAGGGACTTCTGGAAGAAGTGGCCCATGCCCCAGGGCTCCTGGATCTCAGAAGGAGGGAGCTGAAGTAGCTACAACATACAAAGCAACAAGTTTCCTTTGCAAACCTAAAGCTTCTAGTTGCAGAGGAGTGTAGGGGGAAGTGCCAGGAGAGATAAAAGGGGCTCTGTGAACAGAGTATCCTTCACTGGGGGAGATAAAAAAAGAAAAAGAGCTCCCCCCACTCTCACCCCAGCTGAGTGCATCTGCATAAAAAGTCATTCTGGAATTCTGCAGAAGGAACCATGCAAATTACACTAATTAAATGAAATACCAGGCGTGCAGGAACTAACACTGACCTGGCACATAGTAGGTGCTCAGTAGAGTTGCTCCTCGCATACATGTGTGCACCCACATAATTGTCCTCAATCTCACCACAAGACTTTCTGCACATGCCAACTACCTACTATACCAGGTTCAGGAGATCCAGCCCTCTAAAAACTGACCTCAGCCTCTGGGCACTCCCAGTCTGGGGGCTGAGATTGGTCTGAGTCCAGAAGAGAATCAACACTAATAGGAGCCCTGGGGGGTGGGGGTGCTCCAGAGCCAGGGGTGCTAGTGGATGGGCCTTCAGGGTAAAGGGACAACAGGCACAGCAGGGGCTTTGGGGTGACTGTGGAGCATGGGTTAGGGGAGGCAGGGCCTTAGGCAGTGCTGTTTCACACCTAGTTGATCTATTCTTTTGGTAGCTCCTGGTAAGGCCGGAGCTTGACTGCCCACTCTGTCTTCCCATAATTGGCACGTGGTAGTTCCAGCACCAGGGCCCTGGCATGGAAGGAGGACAGCACCTGCAGCCCTTGCCCCAGGGGACAGCATAAGAGGAATTATTCCATTTGGGCAGGAGAAAGGGTTGGCCTAGCTTGGGACACCTAAGAGCCCACCTTCTGTATTCCAAGAGAACATTCCAACCCACCACAGAATCTTCAGCCGCCTGAAGATTCTCTCAAAGTCCCTCCCAGGACTAATTCCAGGTGCAGAACCTGGGAAGCTGCCCATCACTTCTTCCTTCCCACTCTCCAGTCACCCTTCTCCTCAAACTTTGGGGGCAAGTAGCCAGTCCTCTCCACCTCTGACTCTCTGCAGGATGGCCCGGGGGGAATATCTGGACTGGATAAGGGGAAGGAGAGAGTCCTCTTCAGTGATCTGCCCCTTGGGCAGGTGTCTCAAGGTAGGCCAACCCTTTCTGCTGCCCAGATGGAACAATTCCTCCATTATGACAGTGGGGCTAGAGCTTCAGTCTCCTCCTCCAGCCTCACATTTACATGGAGATTTGGGGGACTGAATACAGAGAAGAGGATAAGACTGAGGATAAGACTGAGAGTGGGGCCGTGGGAGCTGGTGCCAGCTCCACCTCAGAACAGCTAAGAACAGGAACACATATAAGGCACCTACTATGTGCCCAGCACTGTGCGAGGCTTTCAATATATTCTCTCTAATCCTTGCCACCACTTTGTGAGTTAAGTATTCAAGACCCATTTCACAAATGAGGAAACAGACACAGCAAGTTTAATTTAGTTGCCCAGTCACACAGCTACGTGAGAGGAGCGCCCCCTGGTTCCACAGGAGGTACTACATTTTCCAGTAAAGCTTTCCTCAACATAGACACTGTGAATGGCCACGGCTGTGTTGGGAGCTGCAGCCTGAGGAGCTGTGTGTGGACTGCTGGCTCAGTGAGCGGGAAAGCTCTGTCACAGGTAGTTTGGAGCTTGCCGTCGAGGGGAAGTGTGTACGGGCTTTGCTTGGGTCACCCCTTTCCTGCCATCACCAGGACTAACCAGAAGCTGGGGGGTTCTCCAAGTCTTAGATTCCAGAGTGAAGTCTTCCCAGTTGATGCACTTGAAAAAGCCCCTGCCGCTACCATGGGCCACAGAGTGCTGTGTAATTTCCTCTGTGGATCAGTCCCCCACAAAAGGCTGTGACGGGGTCATGACTCAGGTCCAGCTTGCCACTGATAGGCCACCAGCTGACTGGCTGTCAGCCAATTTGCTGGCTATGGAAGGTGCTGCCCATTGTGTCTGCTCTGTCCTGCATAGGAGAGATGGGACCCTCGTGGAATCGGTCAGGCGGCCATTTCTGCAGGTCACACTGGACCCAGAGCATGTCAGGAGCTGAGCACAGTTCTGGGTTGTGATTGGTGTGAACTATAACTGAAGCACACCCAGAGCCAGCCCCAGGCAGTCAGTCACGATCTTCTAAGGTTAGGAATTAAGATACCACCAGCAAACTGTGTGAGCAGGGCCTGATATCCCCACTCAGCTTCCAAGAACATTTTCCACCTTCCCCTCAAGCTCAGGAGGCTTCTAGAGGAATTTGCTCCTCTCAGAAAAAGGTGCTTTGCTTAGGCAATTTTTTAAAAAATCAATGGTTCCTTGAAGCTGTCTTCAAGGAATCCACCATGTCCACACAAGGCCTTGAAACCCAGTCACTGGGTTTTTGGGTTTTGTTTTGTTTTGTTTTTTTTAAAAAAAAACAAAAAGGGTAATCTTTGAATCCCTTGTTCTGAGCTGACAGTCACTTACCCAGAACCCCTCAGGGAGGGGAGGTACAGGCTGGGGTGCCAGTCATACTTCTGGGCAATTTCAAGCCACGTGCCCTGTGTCACCACGCCTGTGACTCAGCCGTGTTCTTGCCAAAGCTCACTCATAGAGGGTGAAACCGCTCTGTAGGCACTTTTCAAAGTGAGGGCTCTCCTGGAGGGAAAACTGGGAGTGCACAGACGGGCTTTTCTACTTATCCGGGAGGAGGCCCCTCAGAGCCAGGACCCAGGGCTGTTTCACTTCTGTGTCCCCAGCTTCTAGACTTTCCATAAATATCGTTACGTGACTGACTAAACAACAGAAAAAATGAAGTGAAGTTGGGACCAAAACATAAAGCCTGTGATTTTTGATGTAGGCATTCCTATTATGTTGCTTCTCAGAGAAAAGGAGTGACGCTTGTGTGATCATGGGGGAGCCTGGACCTCGAGAGGCCTGCCATGGGCAAAGACGTCTCTGTACCTCTTGGACTCACCCCCTGGCATCTCTCCTCTCTCCTAGAAGGTAGGAGTAGATTGGAAACCCTCTGAGAGAAAAAGGCAAATCCTTCTATATCTGGGCTATTTCTCAAATCACAAAAAAATTTATGTTGGCTGAGACCCTGAAAAGAGTTTCTTGCTATTGTGCTTAAGAAAAACAAAGGCCTGGTGACAGGTGCTAAGTGCCTAGGCTAGACCAGCATGACCAGGCTGGGAAAAGTGGGCCTTGGTAGGGCTGCACTGAGGCCGTGGGCAGAGGTAGCTCCCTATACCACAGGTTCCACCATCCCCAAGGCATCTCCTCCGTGTTTCAAAACCCACACCTTCACCTGCAGACTACAGGGTGGCTGCATCCTAGCTACTCCCTACTACAGCGATAGACTCAGACCACTGGCATGGATTGGCTATTTTTTCCACTTTCCGCTTCTTTTTTTGCCTTCTTTAATTATTGCCAATCTGGCAGGTAGATAGGACATCAGGAGGGATGTGGAGCTGAACAGACTTCAATAGAGGTGAGAGCTTGCAATAAGAACTGGGTGAGGGGGTCTCCCTGATAGTACAGGGTTTAAGACACAACCTATGAAGCAATTCGCAGCCTCTGCAACACGAGTTTGATCCCTGGCCAGGGAGCTACCCACATGGCACAGCAGATCTCTCCTGTCTCGCCCACTGCTCCCCTCAGCAGTGTACTTTGGTCTGTCTGCCTGTTCTGTTTCCCACTCTGTCTCTGGTGAATCCTCTCACCACCCGCATCTCTGGCCTGTACCCCAATTCTTGTATAAAAATAAACAAATCTTTTAAAAAAACAAAAGAAGAACTGGGTGAGGAGCAACTCCTAGACCTAAGATGGGGGTGGGGAGGCAGATTCTGCATGTTTCCCAGGACACTTGATTTCCAAGGTTCCACCTCAGAGATACCTATGGGGCAGGAGAAAACACTGGCAAGGTGGCAGTGGGGGCAGGGCAGGAGGAATTCTAGGGGGTGGATCCTTAAGAAAACAGCATAGCGAAAGAGGCAGCAACAGTTTTCTTAGGCTGATGGCTGTTGATGGCCAAAACACAGTGCTGAGTGGATCAGAAATCCAGCAAGTAGCAGTGCCCAGCTAGAAAAATGCTCAGGATCATAATGTCCCATGGCAGGTCTCTTGCTGGGGCCTTCCATCACACTGTATTTTTACCATTCTCTGACCATAAACAAATGAAAACTCTCATGGCAAGTGGCTTTCAAAGACTGTTGGCTCTGAAAGGAAGCTGGACTGCATTTTCCCACAAGAAGTTCAAGGAATTATGATTACTCAGAAAACCCTCTCAACATTCTTGGGAACATTTGAGAAATTCCCAGTTTCTCCCACTACCCTCAGTGCGGGAAGCCAGGGATATGCCGACTCACACACAGAGGAGGGAGTGCTTTTTTTTTTCTTTTTCAGACTCATAGCAACTGCATAAACCATTGCGTAACTGCAATTGTGTTTTTTCACTTTGATAATGAAAGGAAATGCAAATAAAGAGTAATGACTTCTGGTAAAAATTATGCCTAGAAGATAACTTCCTTCTCTCTATCCCACCCCCTCAAAAGTCCTCTTCTCCAGATCTCCTCTCCAGGAGCTTCTCTCCCAGAGCAGTTTTCCAGAATTGCTGTGGTACCTGACCAGCTATTTAATTATTTCTATGAGTCCACTACTTTGGGGCTCCATGTTTCCCTCAGGCCCGGAGTAGCTGTGGGGACTCTCCAACCTGGAAGAGCCTCTGGCCACCTGCCAACTCCCAATGCATGTGCAACTCCAGTCATGGAAAAACCTGGGGAGTCCTGCCAGATCCTGGAGCCTGGTGGAGAATAAAGGGCCTGTGTCAGCCTGCCCCCATCACTCCGTGGAGGGAGATGGCTCACCTTGGTTGCACAGAACCATGGGGGTGAGTGTGAGGACTGGATGTGCCTGGGGATGGGGGTGTCTGTGCCCTGCTAACCAGAGGATGGCCAGAAGCCCAAAGAAGGTGTCTGCTCACTCTGTGCCACAGCATGTGAATGGGAACAGCCCCTGGGCTGGATTCAGCATTCCAAAGAATTCTGGAAAATTGTGTTTCCCGGGATTCTCTGCCTTGGTGAATGTTGTAGGCAGGTAGAAATATGCCTCAATTTCTAAAGAATGATCTGATTTTCAAAGAAATAAGAGAGAGACTAGTGCAGATGGTCCCTCCTGTCTCTCCCCCTGCTCCTCTTAGCAGTGTATTGCAATAAATCTCCCTTCTCTGTTCTCCAGAAAGAGAGAGAAAGGAAGGGAAGGAAAAAGTAGAAAGGACAGAAGGGGGGCCTCCCTGGTGGCACAAGGGGTCAAGACGCAAACTATGAAGCTATCTGCAGCCATCACTGCAGCATGAGTTTGATCCCTGGCCAGGGAGCTACCCACATGGCACAGCAGACCTCTCCTGACTCGCCCGCTGCTCCCCTCAGCAGTGTATTTCAGTCAGTCTGACTGTTCTGTTCCCTACTCTGTCTCTGGTGAATCCTCTCACCCCTTGCATGTCTGGCCTGTACCCCAGCTCTTGTATGCATAAATAAATCTTTTTTTAAAAAAAAGGACAGAAGGAAGAGGGAGGGGAAAGGAGAAGGAAAGTAAAAAGGTCTATGCTGTTTGATCTGGTAACTTTTGTTCATATGTGATTATTGAGCACTTGAAATATGACTGATCCAAATTGATGTACAAAATATACATTGGATTTCAAAGACAGTACAAAACAGAAGGTAAAATAAATAATAATTTTTATCACATGTTGAAAGGCTATTTTGAATTAAACAAAAATATTAAGATTAATGGCATTTTTTTTTCCCACTGTTTCTCATGTGGTCCTACAATATTCACAGTGACATCTGTGGCCCACACTCCATGTCAGCGGCAGCACTGGTCCAGACAACCATGCTCTGAATCACCAGCACAATCCCTGCTGCCAGCCCCACTTCCATTTCCCACCAAACTCCAGGTCTTTGCTCCACCCCTTTCCCTGGACTGAAAGTAGAGTGGCCGGGGTGTGGGGCATCCAGATTCTTAGGTTCTCCAGATAAGATTCAAGCATCTCTCTGGAAAGCCCTTTTGAGTTTTAAGAAATTATTTTCTGAGTGCTGCTTGACCTTTTAAAATCCTCTGCTGTACGTGAAGGTACACAGGGGCTTTGAGGGAGCTGGTAGGTGGTTGTGTGGTAGTGATGGAAATTTTGAATAGAACATGTGAGTCATGGGAGGTTTTGCTTGGGCCTCGGTGGGGACCACAGCATTAACAGGCACTGTTCAAGTCTGAATCCAGGGTCACTGGCTTTTAGGCGAATTTTTAAGTGGTACTACAGAACGCTGACAGAATGTTTCTTCCAAAAATTCCTCTATGCCTGTGAGTATACCAGGTGACAAATTCAGCTTGCTGTTTTAACACCTGAAGGAGGGAAGAAAAGTTGGGTGTGGGAGGGAGAGGCAGAAAAGAGTGCAGGCCTAGCAGTCCAACTGCTGGCTCTCCCAGGCCTCCAGCCTGTGTGTGGGCACTTTAATAAAGCCCTAATTATAGTGCAGTTACGTGTTTTGCTTTCTGTACTTGTTTCTCATACATGTTTTCCATGTTCCATACAGCCCTCATGTCACCCTATTTAGTAATTAAATAATATTCCACCAAGTGACTATGTCATTTTGTAACCTGTGGGATATTTGGTTTCTGGTTTTGCGTATTTAAATAAGATCACAGCAAAAGAAAAATGCAATTTGCTTTCTTTTCTGTATTTTGGATTTCTATTTCCTTGTGATTGATTCTCAGAAAAGAGAGAAACTACTGTGTTCAAGGGTATAAATGTTTTTCTCCTTCTTGATAGATAACGCCAAGGTACTGTCCAAAAGGCATGTGTATGAACTTGCATTGCTCACAGCAAAGGACGCACATATTAAATTTCTTGTAACTTTCCCAAGATCAGATTGTTACAGAATGCTATGGTGGTAGATTAGGGGTGATTTGGCGGTAGGTGTACTAGGGTGGCAATACCTGATGGTGGGATCCAAATATTACAGAATTAAAAATTAATTAATTTTTAAAAGTTGTTTCAGCATGTACATTTATGTGATATATAATATACTATATGCATAGTGTCTATACAATTATATATACATATAATATATATGCATTTACATTTGCAAATTTAAGTGCTGTTAAATGTTACCTCTGAGATTTCTGAAACTCTTCTAAGCAAAATACAAGTAACAGAAATTTGTTCTGAAAAGACCAAGACATTCACTTGAACATTTCTGGACTTAGCATGCATTTCTGTTTTTAAATTGTTCTGCATAGAAGTTTTATCTCTTCTCTATTTATTCAACATGGACTCATTTTATACTTTGGATTATAATCTAATATTACTTTACTTTGTTGATCAATTGTTTTAGCTTTGGGAGTTCCTTCAGTTGGCTCTTGTGCCCCTGCAATCCTGTGGTCTATGTTTTTTGAGCATTTTACTTTTTTGCACTACAAAATGTTCCAGTCTCATCTTGTATTTCCTCTCTACTCCCACCCCGGTCTAGAATCAGTCCAATCTCAAAAAAAAAAAAACAAAACCCTGGTTCCTGTTATTGGAGAATAGTTGTAGAAACCAAGATCTGGGTGTGTTCATTGTTAGTAGGATTTTTGTTTCTCAGCCTCTAACGGGACAGAGCAAAGATCTGTGTGTATATACACGAACATCTATGACTATTTCTACATGTAACCATCTGTGTCTATATTAAGTTAAACCTCACCTCTTGCCAGTGCCTCCAGCTCTAACCTAGTACCACATGGACCAGTCTGACCTCCTTCCTTGCTTATCTTCCCACTGCAAGTCTGTATTTTCAAAATCCTCTGATTACCCATATTATTGGAGAATTTCCTTTCCAGAAGTAAGTTGCGAAGGGGGTAAAATATCATGTCTAATTCTTGTATTAATGGAGAGAGAAAAATGTCATCAATTTGCAAAAAATTTAAAGTGTTTTCAACAAATTTCTGTTACTTTTATTTTACTTAGGAGA